TCAGGAAGATGGAGATCAAATACATCCCAGGAGGTCTGCATCATTCTACATTCGAGAAATACGTTGTTTCAGCCCTCGAATCACAGAGATAATTAGGAGAGAAGAATCAAGGGAACAAACAGAATTGTAACCACAAAACTTCATCAATTAAATTACTCATATTTTATATTTGTGATTGCATTTTCACATATGTTGAAAGTTTATTTGCAATAAAAGAGGCAGACAAATGTATCTTGTATGTGGGATGTACAAACGAAATACAAAATTGTAACGACCCGACCAAAAATTTTGAGACTTGTAGCCCCGTTCCCCCATTTGCTGTTCATTTTATGCTATGCGGTTCTAATGTGACTTGTCGAGGCAGTTGGTTTGGTTCCGGGGAGGTTTCGGAATGAGTTGAGACACTTAGTCTCAAGGTTGGAAGCTTAAGTTAAAAGGGTTGACCGGATGTTGACTTATGTATGAACGACTCCGGAATGGAGTTTTGATGGTTTCGTTAGCTCCATTAGGTGATTTTGATTTAGGAGTGTGTCCGGATAGTGATTTGGAGGTGTGTAGTTGAAAAAGGCTTGAAATGGCGAAAGTTGGAAATTTAAAAGTTTGACCGAGAGTGGACTTTGTGGTTACCGGGCACGGATTGGAGTTCCAGGATTTGGAGTAGGTCCGTGGTTTCATTTGTGACTTGTGTGCAAAATTTGGGGACAATCGGACGTGATTTGATAGGTGTTGGCATCAGATGTAGAAGTTAGAAGTTTAAAAAGTTCATTAGGCTTGAATCGACACGCAAATCGTGGTTTAGGCGTGGTTTGATGTGATTCGAAGGCTCGACTAAGTTCGTATCATATTTTAGGACTTGTTGGTATAATTGGTTGAGGTCTGGGGGGCCTCGGGTGGAGTTCAGATAGTTAGGGGATTGAATTTGGAGTGTGGATGATTGCTGAAGCTGGGAGTCTGTTGGTGCAATCGCACATGGGAAACTTTGATCGCAGGTGCGAGCTATGTTGCGCAGATACGGCCAGGAGTGAGGAAGGATGTGGTCGTAGGTGTGAAGGGTTTTCCGCAGGTGCGAGAAGGTGGTCACGCCTGCGGTTGCGCAGAAGCGGAGTATTTTCCGCAGGTGCAAGGTCTTGGGACACTACAGATGCAGTTAAGTTGTCGCAGGTGCGGAAAGCCTGGGAAGAATATTAAAGATGAGGGTTCCACGATTTTCATCATTTTGAACATTCCAAGCTCGGGATTAGGCGATTTTTGAGAGGATTTTTGAGGGGTTTCTTGAGGTAAGTCATTTGTGGTTAATTTATTCAATAATTATGCTTCCCCATTGAATTTTCCACCTAGATTGTGTGGTTTTGAGGTGTAATTTTGGGAGTTTGAGGCTAGGGATTTGGAGAGTTAAAATTGGGGATTTGGGTATCGATTTGGTATTGGATTTTGGTAAATTTGGTATGGTTGGACTCCTGGTTGAATGGGCTTACGGATTTGTGACCTTTGTTGGATTCCGAGACGTGGGCCCGGGCGTCGATTTTTTAGTTGACTTTTTGACTTTGATTCATAACTTAGTATTTTCTTATGGAATTGATTTCCTTAGCTCTTTCTTTTATCTTTCATCTTTCTTCCTTCCTTGTTTTCATCTTCTTCTTCTTGCCTTTTCTGAGCCGAGGGTCTATTAAAAACAACCTCTCTACCTGTATTAGGTAGGGGTAAGGTCTGCGTACAGACTACCCTCCCCAGACCCCACCTGCTGGGATCAAACTGGGTTTGTTGTTGTTGTTGTTTAATTGATTTCCTTAGCTCGTGTTGATTGTATGGAACTGTTTCTGGCTAGATTCAGGGCATTCGAAGACCATTTCGCGAGGCAATGGCTCGTTGGAGTAGGGATTTGCACAGCTTGAGGTAAGTAACACTTCTAAATTTGGTTCTGAGGGTATAAATCCTGAATTTCGTATATGATTGGTATGGAGGTGACGCACATGCTAGGTGACGGGCGTGTGGGCATGCACCATAGAAATTGTGACTTAATTATTTCCGTGGAGTTGCATAATCAAATAATCATGTCAATACCCACATCTCCTCCACGTGTTAGAGAAATTGAGTTGAGACTCATGTTAAATCATGCTTAGGCCACGTGCCGATATTTTTGGGACCCATAGAGGTCGTATTACTGTTGAATTCTTGTTTAAATTTACATTTGTGAACTCAGTCACATCTATCATTTGCATATCATATCTCAGTCTCTATTTCCATCCATTACAGCATATCATCATGACGGGCTGAATTTTCATGACATTGTGAGCCCGAGAGACTGGAGAGATTAATGATTGAATGAGGTTGAGGGCCTGATTGTGAGTGATAATTAAGGGATCGGGCTGCACGCCGCAACATGTTTTTATTTATTTATGCCTGGATATGGCTTATTATAGCGCTTGCGATGAAGAAGCCCCTCCGGAGTCTGCACCCCCACAGTAAGCGCAGTTGATATTATATTGGGATGGAGTTCCCTGAGCATGGAATTGCCCTATATATATTCACATTTGGGATGGATTTCCCTGGGCATAGAGTTACCCTATACATTTATATTTGGGATGGAGTTCCCTGGGCTGGATTGGCCCTATAAAGTACTGAGTGACTGACTGTAGTCACTGTTTACATTGAGGGATGGATCTTCCCTGGGCTAGACCTGCCTCGTACAGTACTGAGTGATTGAGTACTCTGAGAGTGTGAGTACACGAGGATTCCATTGTAGTGTACCACATACAACATGTATAGTGGCATGTAGATATAGAAACGTTATATCCCTCATATCATTCAGAGTTGATCTATTTTACTTGTATTGAGTTTTTATCTGTTGAACTTGAAAAGGCGAAATGGCTCCTGGCCACTTAAACTTGCATCAGTTTGTAAAGCCGGTATATGAACTCCTGAATTTCCCATTTGAACACCTTTACTTGAAAAAATGGCTACTAATAAACACTTGCGATGGTGCGTGTTGTTCAATTGCTGCTGACATTGATTTAATTTTATATTTTATATAGCCACATCATCCACTCATTCACATTTTGTTGACACATGTATCTTCAAGATCTGAATTCGTGGGCCCTATCCTTTTCCAAAATTAATTTATAAAATTTCTATTTTTTCTTCTCTTTGCCTTCTTTTATTCTTCATCCGCCTCCTGCATCTCATCTTCCTCAATGCCACTACCTATCTTCATAGCGCCAGAACCATCGGCTCCCAGCACAACATCATCCTCCTCTTCATCATCAAGCTAACTCTCTTCATCTTCTTCTTCGTCTTCATCTTCATTCTCCTCAAACCCAACAGCTACACCAACATCATAATCAAGAGATTCATCGCCAATCATCGCGACCATCGCGCCTGAGCATGGCTTCATAAGTAGCCCTAGTTTCCATAGTTTTAGGCTGGTAAACTCCACCTTCTTCATCAATTGAATTAAGAACACCTTCTTCCTGAAGAAGTCGTCGTCTTTCGGACTCAAAGGCAAGTGTGTCCCATTGCCGCTCCGATAATGGAGACTGTAAACACAAGCTCCGATTTTACTTCCCATGGTTATTGGAGTTTGGTGTTGATATCTTGGAATGAGTTATGTATGCGGTTGGGGGTGTGCTAAAGTTCTGAGCTTTTTTCTTTGTTTGGGTTGTGTTCTATGTTTTGCTAGAAGTGGCTATGGTAGAATAGAAGGGGGAGGGGGAAAGGGGAGGTGGAGTTTGGTAGGGAAGACAGGGGAAATTAGAAGGGAAAGGGAAAGTTCTCTTTTTTCGTTTTCTTTTTCTTTTTTAATAAAAATAATAACTATCCACGCGCCTTTGTAGCGTGATATGCACACAATTTAGCCATGTCAGTTGCGCCGCTTCCACGTAGGCATACTCAACGGTCAAATGTGTTTATTAGTATTTATTGCATCAAGTTGGAGTGTTCAAATGGGAAAAGTGTAAGTTCATGTATCGGCTTTTAAAAGTCCTACAAGTTTAAGTGGCCAGGAAGCCATTACGCCAACTTGAAAATATGCCTACATTTCTGTACTGTCGTTTCTATATTGAATTGTACCTGCTGAGCTCGTCTCTACTTTCAGTCCAGAGGTTACATTTGTTACTTATTGAGTTGGTTGTACTCACGCTACACCTTGCACCTCGTGTGCAGATCCAGGTGCTTCCGGTCACGACGGTTGCTGATTTGTAAAGACCAGACCTTCGGAAATCATCGAGCTAGCTGCTTGGCGTCCGTAGGCCTTGACTCTCCCCCCTTATCTTTTAGTTTATTTTCCAGTGTTACTATATAGAAAGTGTACCAGATTATGTTTTATGTAGATGCTCATGTACTCAGTGACACCCCGTTTTTGGGAGAGATTATGTATTGAGTTATGATTTCCTATCATGTTTTAAGAGGTTTTCCTTTAATTAAACTGTTTTAGTATCTTTCAAAGTTTAAAGTGTTAGAATTGTTTGAGTAGTCGGCTTGCCTAGTACTATGATAGGCGCCATCACGACGGGTTAATTTTGGATCGTGACAAAAATACATACAACTAACATAATTGTATGCAAGTTCTATGTGTTTGATCAAATTATGTACAACATAAAAATATATATAAATTGTATAAAAGTTGTATGTTTTGACCGAATTTTGTATATTTCTTGTAAAAAAAATTGTAGCTACTTTTTTATAAATAAGAAACCTAATTAAAGCGGGTAAATATTGTCCTAATTTTGTATCTATAAAAAAATCCCCAAATTTAAATTATTGGAATATTATCATCTATAGAGAAGTGTCTCTCAAAATGAAAGTTGTTCATATTAACTAAAGTACTTTATATTAGCCACGGTCCAGTTATTACACCATGTTGGTGCAATTTCTGGAAAAATTCGGTATACGAGAAATCTAATCCAGTTCATTTTCTTGTTGCCACGTGGCAGAAACCCATTTACTCTCTTAAATTTCTTGGGTCCACGCCTGGCTTCTAGCCAAGAAACTATCAACAGTCTCTCTCTGTAAGAAGTCCAAGTGATTGGAGAAAAAAAAAAAAAATTATTATACAACACATTTGAAACCCTGTGGGGATGGCAGGGATTAGTTGCTATTCTCCTTCATTACTCTCTTCCCGGAGGTATGTTTCTTAGTTTCTACCTTACCAAGAAAATCTTTTTTTAGGTACCTAAAAACAAACTACGGAAAATGAATAATTGAGTTTTTTGCATTCTTATATTTCAATAACTCCCTCTTGTGTTTTTGTTTGGGTGCACGAAGCCTATCCTAGTGAGGAACTGTAGAAGATTTTACGGAAAAGGCTAAATATACCCCTGTACTACTAGAAAAGGTTTAAATATACTTTTTGTTATACTTTGAGTTTATATATAACCTTGTCGTTATACTACTGGTTCAAATATATCTCTTTTCTGATAAGTTTGTCCAAAGTGAACATCACGTGGCACTGGCATTTGATGAGGGCAAGCCACATGGCTTGCCACCTCAGCGCCCTAACCCATTTTACCTCACTTTTTTTTTTCACCACTAAAATTTTCTTCCCTTCCACCGCTATCGCCACCATTACCGCTACCATAAAAAATATTGTATCTCAAATTTTAATCTTTTATATATGGATTAGGGGAGCTGAGATGGCATGCCAAGTGGCCTCCACCTCATCAAATATCAGTGCCACATAGGATTGGATGTTCACCTTGGACAAATTTAACAGAAGAAGGTATATTTGAACCAATAGTATTACGTCAGGGGTATATTTAGACCCAAAGTATAACGGAGGGTATATTTAAACCTTTTCTCATAGCACAGGGGCATATTTGGTCCTTTGCCGAAGATTTTATTTGCTTACATGAGTTGAAATTATGTAAGCTTAGACCCGTTTCTCCATAAAAATTATTTCATTTTTTCATTTTTTTTTCAAATATGTGTTCGTGAAATTTTGCCAGTTTTTCGAAAATTACTTTTTCAAAATTTTTAGAAAAACTTTTTTACCCACTCACAAAATTGCAACATTTTTCAAGTGAAATGCATGTCCAAACATAATTTCAAATTTCAAATACCATTTTTCAACTTAAGTCCAAATACTACTTTATTCAAAAATTACAATTCTTATGTCCAAAGGCCTACATTAATCTTAATGGTTCAATTGTCACTGTTTCTTGATTAGTTGAATGCAGGAACATATTTATGTGATTTATACAAAACACTTGCTCAAAATGCATGTTATTTTAGGTGGAGTCTCTAACAATTTGATCCTTCTATTTTTGTATTACCTTTAGAATTTTAAGTGAATGCTTTATTATGTCTACCTACAGAGTTGAACATCTTTTTCTACTTTGTTTCTGTTGTAGTTTATAGACATCTGATAGCATGGTATGATGTAATTGTAGATGTCATTTTGCACCGTCTTCATTATGCGTCATGAAAATTTTAGGAGCTCGACTAAGTGATGTGATGTGTATTTCAGCAACTTGGGATCATCTTTGTTGGTTGTCAAATATCGAGGAGGGATTGTGACAGGGAAACCTCTTAGGAGGAGTGCTTTCGAGATTAAAGCAGAAGTTGAGTTTGTGAATGCTGATGAGGCGAAGAAACTTGTAGCTGTCGAGGGATATGCAGTTCTAGATGTGCGCGACAAAACTCAATTCGAGAGAGCTCATATCAAAAACTGTTATCATGTACCACTCTTTATTGAGAACACAGATAATGACTTAGGTATATCATTTCTCCTTTATCTTAGTTGTTTTTTGTTACAACGTCCCACGTTGATTGAGAGAACAGACTATTGTCTCCGTATATGTTCTTGAATAATTCTCACCTCACGATAAAACTTTTAAGACTGAGTTTTGCTCAATATCCATTTTCATGTTATTGGAGTCGGAGCCATTCATATTATTGGTTTATCCGACGTTACATTATTCACACTCCAAATGTCCAGCTCTACGCGTGCAGGGGAAGGGGGTGCTGCATTGGTGTTCTGTTCATAATTTGATTAGTGCCTTTTATTTTCTGCAGGTACTATAGTCAAGAGACAGCTGCACAACAATTTTTCTGGTTTATTTTATGGATTGCCATTTACTAAGCCCAATCCTGAGTTTGTGCAATCTGTTAAAAGCCAATTTTCTCCCGAAAGCAAGCTGCTACTTGTCTGTCAAGAGGGTCTTAGGTAAGTTAGTTATTTGCCAATTGAATTTAGCTTCCATGTCAAGTGAAACCAATGTGGAATCATGAAAATGAAATGCCTAGCCTGATCTCCATTTGGATCCTCGCGCAAAAAACATGTAAATAGAACAGTAAGCACTGTTCTACAGGATTTGATAACATTGCTAATACAAGTTGAAGTGTACTATAAGTTCTGCAAATGTGAGTAAACAAAAGTTCGCGTATGAAGGAAAGCAAATTTAGTGTTCTTGATTTTGTGCATGAGAAAGTAGGGGTGAGTCTACTGAGTACAATTGATTCTTGATTTCCTAAGAGGCAAGAATCCTTGGTGAAATTAAGTGGTGAATTTTCTTAACACTGAAGATTCATGCTCTTACACTTGGTCTTAACTTAAGATCTGAGTCCCTTTGGGTACATCCAACAAAATTGGAATAATATATATAGACAAGATCGCAGCTCCTGCATAAGGATGACAGGAGCATATCGAGAAATGATCCAAACTTAAGATCTGAATGCTTAGTTAGCACTATATAATCTTACCTTATCATGGAGACATGAATCTAGCGAAGGTACATTTTTTAATATCGAGATCCTTAGTGAATACCCAGAAGGAGAAATCGATCATTATTTTTCTTACAAGTATCCTTGAAATTCGGACAGATTCTTGTTATGTGCCATCTGAGATCTAAAAGAGTTGCCTGGTCTATGATCTTTTGCCTCCTTTATGTTTCATGCGCATCTATGTATCTTCACACTATTGATGGATGGTAAACTTACGTATTCAAAATTTCTTGTGGCTAATCGTTGTGTTTCTTGAAATCCTTTAAGGTCTGCAGCTGCAGCCCAGAGATTAGACGAAGCAGGTTATGACAACATCGCATGCATAACATCAGGCCTTCAAACTGTAAAACCTGGTAAAACACTAAAACACGAATTTAACATTTCAACTTGAATCTCGTCTTTCTGAATTAGCTGAAAACTGAATATAATTTCCTGTATCTAGGAACATTTGATTCTGTTGGTTCCAAAGAACTGCAAGATGCTGGCAAAGCCGGTTTGGTTACCATACAGGGCAAGATTTCAGCTGTTCTAGGAACTGTGCTTATCTGTAAGTTCTATATTGATACATCTTGTATGCATTCTCTTAGAGTTTAACTTTTGTGCACTCATAGTGCATACGTTTTTTACACAATCCGGTTAAATTTACCTTTAAATACCGTTAACTCTTCACAGTAAGATCGATATGGTAACTTGAAAAATAAAATACTAACTTCTTGTAGAGTTGTAGTCAGTTTAGATTGCTTTGAAATTGGAAAAATTATTTATACTGTCAACGTATATAACTTAAATCCATTCTCTTAATTATCTCCTAGTGCATAATGAGTTGGCATTCCATTTTTTCCATTTGTTCATTTAATTAATCTTTTGTTGTTTAATGTGTGATATTTCAGGTGCATTGCTATTTATAACTCTTTTCCCCGATCAAGCAGAACAGATTCTTGCATTGGTTCCTTCAAGCTAATACTTAAACAACTCCAACTTTCTTTTTTTTGGTGTTGATGGAATTTGGATTTTCAAGAAAAGTAGAGTGTGCTCATTTGTGTAGAGAAAACTAGTTGATATTGAAATACCAGTAGTCATCGAGCTTTTGTACATTTCTCATTTGACAAATATCTGATTGGTAAACGGCAAACTGCTTTTTCTTATTTAACAACTAAGAGCTATTTCTTTTAGTTTTTCGTTTTTCCTCTAATATTTTAATTTGAATTTTCCAGCCTGAGAATATAGATAAATATGATCTACCAAAGGAGAAAAAGAAAAAAATAAAATAAAAGGAACAAAAGGGTTTTGTGCAAGTTGGTATTAAGTTGGAAGGAAGATAGAATGTGCTACCAATGATTTTAGGATCTTTATACAACGGAAAAAGGTCAAAACTACGCTCGAACTATAGGCTTAGGGTCAATATATCCTCTGTTCATTATTGCGCTAAAATTGCCTCTGACGTTTTCTTTTCGACTCAAGTCTATCCTTTTGACTAACAGCCATTTCCCAAAAAAAAGATTTATTTAATAATGACGTGGCAACTTCTCCTTCGTCGAATTTAAAACACTAGTCCCCGTTAAAAAGACCTACTCATATGTACCCATCTTCGGACTAACCCGCCACAAACTGCACTAACCTAATCTGAAGTGCCTAAATTTTTATTACCAAATCAAAAACAAAAAAAAATCAGAAAATTAAAAAATAGTATCATTGTTTGATAAAATACACTTGAGTTCATGCTTTGTTTCTCAATTTTCGAATTTCATTGGTATGAGCATTTGAAAATGCAACTGAGTTCATTGGCGGAATTGTGAATCGATGATCCCTTGATGAATTGAAGATTTTAGTGCTTAAAACTTTCCTTGATGATTCTATTGATTGGGATCTTGGGTCAAATTCGTGGCTTGAATTGTCAAAGTTGTTGGAAGATTTTGGTACTCAAAGTCGAAATTATTACTTGGAATCTGCTGATTGTTATTATTTGAAGCTAAAGTCAAGTTTATCTACTGTCTTGGTTTCCCTCTTTGTCTCCTTTCATTTTAATTCGTTGATTTTCTTCTTCTTTTTTTTTTCTGTGTTTAATTTAATTTTTCTCCAAATCTCTTCATCATCATACAACTTTATTCCTACATAGTTAAAATATAATATAAAACATAAGTAGTATAACTAATACTCAAAAGATGATTAAAAGTACTCAAACGTGACGCAATAATGATTAAATCCAATATTTTCAAGCTTTTCCAACAACACCCACTTGATTTACACTTACTTTTTAGATTCAAATCCAAGATCCATTCTCCAAGCTTGCAACAATGGTGATTTTAGAGGTGGATTCATGATTTAAAATGTATGAGTTTAGAATTTAGTCTTTTTGAGTAGCTAAGTTTTAAATTAATAATTTTTTCATATAAATTGAATTTCTTAAGATATAGAGTTTAGACCAAAGCTAATGAGTTCACCAAGCCCGTAGTCGAAACTTTACCCCTGCTCTTGTACCTCTTTTAAATTCCCCAATATAAGTAGTTTCTTCCTACTACAAATATCAACTTATCACTATTTTGAATGAATATTTTATTACACCCAAAAGACATAAAATAAAAAATCAAGGAGCAAATAACTATTGTAACTTAATGAAGCCAATTATTTATGGTTTTTAAGGTTTTTAAATGGTGTGCGTATTTTGACTTTGAATATGTATTTGGGGATATTGGACAATACTATCGTGGTGGTTAAGGAGAAAGAAAGAAGAACAGTTTTGTCTGAAATTTGCCTACCTTGACTACCATAATAATAAATAAATAATTTAGAAACTGGCTCTAGGTTAATTGAGAGCATCCAAATTGGCTACCCCATGAAAGTTGGGATCTTTACACAAATAGCTGGTCATATTCATTGTTTACTTTTATTAGCCATCTACCTAGTCTATACATTAATTATATATAATTATATATATATAATACATAAATTATGCTTATATTATAGAGTTTTGACACAGTTACCCACAAAAATAAAACTATTTACCCTTGTCTACCCATTTGTTTTCTTACCCATAAACTAATTACATTTCCTACCCATAGTAGATTTTGTGGGGAATTTTTTCTTTATTCTCCAATTCTTTTTTATTTCTATGCTTCTTTTCTTTTCTTTTTTTCTTTTTTTTTCTTTTCTCCTTTTTTTTTCTCGTTTTCTTCTCTTTTTTTCTTTTTTCCTTTTCTAATTTCATTTAACTTCCTTTTTTTATATTCTTTTTCTCTTCATAATCTAATTTCATTTACTGTTTTCACTATTTTTTATTATTCTTTTTTTAAATATTATTACCAAAGAAAAATCAAGTTGTCTACCAATTAAATGTAGCTAATACAACCAAAATAATATTAACTAACATATGATACCAGTATAGTATATTGCTATACCAATAGGGTATACGATTGTACGCAAAGAGTTAAAAAAAATTTAGTTCAATTATTAAAATGAAATAATATCAGTTGTCAATAAAAAAATTTTAAAAATTCTAAAAGGATCTAATTGTAAGAGTATACCGTTACATCATATAGCATACTATAATTTTTTTTTTTTTTTGCATTTTTCAATTTGCCCCTCACGCTGGGTAAAAGCTTAAAACAAATTAAAAGGGAAAAAGCAAGTGAATTTACGGGAATAAGTATACTATTATAGTATATTGTATACTATTACAGCATATTGCTACAATATCTTGCATATTATTACAGTATACCATAACAATATATTGTATACTATAATAGTATACTGTTGCAGTATAACTATATACTCCTATAGTATATTAGTATACTGTAGTGGTATACTGTTTTGTAAACTATAATAGTATAGTGTTGCAGTATAGCTATATACTCCTACAACATATTGTATACCGTAGCGGTATATTGTAGCTGTGTTCTTCGATTTTCAACTGAAAATTTCGATCCCAATCACCTCAATCAGCTCCAAACGCTATCAAAATTCAGTAAGAACTTCCAGAAGGTACTATAAGCAATATTTAGCAGCACCCACTTTGAATCAAACAAGAAATCTTCAAAAATAAAATTGAGCTTCAAGCCCAACAATAGTGGATATTCAAATACACAAAAATCTAGATCTAGGAAACCAGAAAAACTCAAACTTTCTCTTCTAGCTAAGGATTCTTTCACCCCCTCTCTCCATTTCCTGCTCGCAACGCTCGTACTACAAACAAATAGCCAGAAAATGACAAAATAAACACAACACGAAACAGAAACAAAGGGATAGATTCGGAAGAAAAAGTAGAGGAAAAAGAATTAAGTAAATTAACTGAGCTTAATCCTTGAAACAAGTAAGCAGAGAGAAAATCGCAGAAATAACAAAGGGCTTCAAAATTCACACACACATAGAGAAAAATTCAAGAAGAAGAAAGAAGGAGCGAAGTTATGTGAGCTTTGGAACAGAAAAATAATAAAAATCTAACAAGTAGGAGAGAGAAAGAAGAAGATGAAAATAAAGTCTGGTATCTTTTCGTCATGTCATTCACACTTTGAATCAAATGGGAAGACAAATAGTTGTGGGTTGGGTAAATAGTCTTGATTGCATAGGTGAGAAAAGTAAATAGTTTAGGTTTGGGTATTTAAGGGTAAATAGTTTGGGCTTAATAGGTATAAAGTGATATTTTCTCTATATTATACCTCCACCGGCTATTTTTAGTTTAAGCGGTTGGGTGGCTATACGGGTTAACTCTTCGTGAAAAGTTTCAGTCAACGCACAAAACTGCAGGGCCCAAAACGGCCTTTTCCGTTGGGCTTTGTTTAGGCCCATGATTATTACCCAACCCATTACCTTCACTGCAGCTTAGAGTTGACAACTCCATATACTCCATGGCGCACGTTAGAATATAGGGACCCATTTCTTTGCTACCACTGTGAAACTCCGGCAAAAAATCAAGCAGTGAAGATTTTCCGGCGAAATGCAGAACCAAGACGATATTCGTAATCTTCCAATCGACATAGCATTCGCTCGCCTCGGAGGTAAAAAAATCAACTAACAAATAAATAAAATTCTAAATTGCTTATTTATTTTTCTTCTGTCAATCATTTTTCTGATGAATTTGATTATCGGATTGAAGAGTGGTTGGCTGATCGGAAGAGAATTCCGGCGGATTGGCGGAAGCGACTTGCGGCCGTGAGAGCTAAGATTACGTCGTCGTTTGCTTCGCTGCCTAAAGACATTGATCCCTACTTTCACACTCTTGATGTAGAAGGTTTTTTTTACTTCTTTTTCTTTTGTGGTTTCTTTTTTTTATTTTAGCTGTAAAAATTCTTCTTTTTCCCATAAATCTTATGCTGTAACAATTCAGGCTTGTAAGAATTTATGCTTTTAAGCCCTAGAATTTGATAATAATCAAGTGTGCTCAGCTCGTGACCTAGTTGCTGCCTTGCTGGTACCTCGAAATAGTACTCTCCCTCCAATTTATGTGATAATTTTTCCTTTTTAATCCGTCCCAAAAAGAAATGTCTCATATAGACTACAAGTTTCAGAAGTTTTTCTTTCTTTCTTAAACTCCAAACACCCTTACATAAATTGGGACGGAGGGAGTATCAGTTAGTGTTGATTTTGTGTTATCAGTGTACTGCCATACTAAGTTGTAAACTGGCTGAACCATTTTAGAATTAGAGGTTAAAACCAAGAATTTTTTTTGTTTGACCTTTTGTATAATATTAATAAGAACAGGCTATGTTGGCTCCTTTTCTTCTGTTTTTGAAGAAGAAGAAGAAGCAGGCTATATTAGTTCTTTGAGAAACTGAAAATACAACTGGAGGTGAAAGTGTATTTGCTAATTATTTTGTTAAGAACTGTAAAAAGTGCTAACAATTAAAGGACAGCCCGGTGCACAAAGCATCCCGCGTTCACGCAGGATCCTGGGAATGGCCGCACCCCTAGGGATGTGATGTAAACAGCCTACCCTAATCCAAGCATCGGTGGTTGCTTCTGCGGCTCGAACCTGTGACCTATAGGTCACACGGAGACAACTTTACCATTGCTTCAAGGTTCTCCTTCGAAAATGCTAACAATTATAGAAAAAAGAAAGAAAAAAAAGAGGAACTGAAAAAATGTTACTTACAATTTTGGATAGGCATACATCTTTCTGTTAGTTAAGAACCGATAATCTTTTCTTATATTCTTTTT